ACAAATTGATATTTTACTATTCAGTCAAGTAAGCATTCTCCACATACAATTCATGCTACACATTTAATCTTGATTATTAGAACAAAATAAAGATTAAATCCATTCATTCCTCAAAGAATTCGAATAGCATGCATTGATATATTTAATTTTGTTTAAAATTTATTTAAACTTATTCCTAGTCCTTATTTGATATTTAGGACTCCTTAAATTCAATTTAAAGTAATTTAACGCTATTTACAAAATTTCCCCAAGTAAGGCTCAAGCTTTTATCCTAATTGCTCGAGCATCCTATTTCAGGCTCGAGCATCCTGCTTCAGGCTTGAGTTTTTCACCTAATTACTCGAGCTTTTCTTTTCAGGCACGAGCTTTTCATCCAATTGCTCGAGCTTTTCCCTTCAAGCTCGAGCTTTTCATCCATGGCTCGAGCTTTGCCCCCAAGGCTCGAGCACTGTATCAATGACTCAAACCCTATTTACACGATTCAACCCAGAATTCTACTCTGAACCCAAATATTTATTGTTTAAGGATTTTAAGGCATGTTTTTAGGTTCCATCAATATACATATATGAAAATATATCATGTAAAATATGTAACAATTCATAGAGTAATCAAATCAAATCTCTGAATTTATTAATTCACACAGCAAGAACAACCATGAAATATAATCTATAAAGCCTACGTTCTAGATCAATTAAATAATAAATTCTAATTTTATTTGTTCTTTACATAACCCTAAGATTATACTAGAGATATATATTTCACATATCAAATGAGAAGTACAGAACAAGAACTTACCTTTAGAGATTTGATAAAAATCCTAACCTCCTTCTTCCTCTTCCTCTTCCTCTTCCTCTTCATCTTCCTTCTTCCTCCTTCTTTCTTTCTCTCTCTCTCTAAAAAAATATGTGATATAATTCTAGTTCCCCTTTTCCAACCTTATATTTATATATTTACAAGCTAAATAAATAACTCTACTCCTTTTCCTAATCCACCTCAAATTAATAAAGAAAATAATAAAAATAAAAATACTAAAAAGGTACTAAAATATATGTTATGTATAATCTATGCATATTCTTTTTATATAAATAAAATAAATATATCAGATTATCACTAAAAGACTTTCCTTATATTTAATTATATATATACATAAACATTATCCATGGGTAATTATCCGTACCCATTAAACCCTTTATCCAAGTAGTCCATGGAACCTAATTAGTTGGCCCATGACTAAAATTCATAACCATTAGAATGAAATAAAATAAAATAAATAAAACAACCATTTAAAATATTTAATTCCTAACCATTAATTATAAGAAAACACCTAACATGTAAGTACACAAATACACATTAACTAACATATAATTCAACTAAACAAGTATTTTAAATAAATACATAATCAATTAATTCATATAAACAATTAAACAAATAACCAAGAAATCAAATAAAGAATTAAAAACACAGTTAAACCATTAATAAGATACCGAGACTATTTTTTTAAAATTAGGAGTATTACACGGACAGTGAAATGGGTTTACAGATATTATTTGGTTGGGTTCTTTGGGGCATGGAGCTTGTCTGGTTGTCATGGAATGAGAAGAATGGGCTGTTGGGTGGATTTGATACATCAATACGTAGGTTAGGGTGCACTGTCATGGCAGGTAAAGTGCAGGTCAAATCCCCCAAGACAGGGAAAAGAACTAACCTTTCATTTGAATTTGAAAAAAGATTCGTTGACTTGGGATGCTGGATATAATTGCTGTGCTTCGGTGGCGCGTGGTCCTCCTCCTGTCCTCCGGCAGTAATCTCCGGCGGTGGTGCATGCCCAAAGACAGTATCCCATCTAGCAATAAAGTCTCTGAGAACAACAATGTCATTTGAGAGAGAAAAAAAAAAGAGATAACCTGGATTTTAATGAACTCAGCTCCACCTCCAGGAGTCCAAGTTCCCAATTGTCTCCTTCAGTTTTGCCACCTATTCAATGAGCTCAAATTTTGAGGCATTTATAATGGAGGCATCAATACCCTCTGGAAGGTAAACAATGTCATCAATGACCTTGTTTGAAGGGTTAAGGATTTTGCCATGTTGGAGTGCAGTCAACACTTTTGTTTTAGTAAAGCCAGTGATGGATGGGCTCTAGGTTTGAGCCTCTTTTTGGCTGGGGAAGAAGTTGCTGGTGTGTCCAAGACCTGCTGTACTCAGTGGCGTAGCCACGTAGGGACAAGTGGGGCAGTTGCCCCCACTGAATTTTTAATTTTTTAAATTTTTTTTAAATTTTATATAGAAAGATTTTTATATTCGTATTATTGTCCCCACTAAAAGTTGACTTGCACATAATCTTTTCAAAAAAGGAATATAATCTTTCCAAAAAATATGATATTAAAGGAATATAATCTTTTCAAAAAATATGATAGTTTTTTCCACTTTCTTAAAATATTATATTCTTTCACACTTTCCCCAAAAATACAAGATATTTTTTCTAATTTTTGACTTTACCACAAACAAATACGTTGTTAATTTTCAAAAATTTACAAAATCTAAACAAATACTGCAGTGCGGAGACAGGTAATCTGATATATAATTTTTTATCATCTAAATTTACTATTATTATGCCATGAACATTTTTAAAACTTGACTGCGTGCTTTCAAAATATTTTTCATATTCTGAAATATTTAGTATTGTTTAATTTTTACATATATTATTTTGGTTCAAATAATATATATATATATATATATATATATATATATATATATATATATATATATATATATTATTGCTGTTAAAAATTGCCCCCACTGAAGAAAATTTCTGGCTACGCCACTGGCTGTACTTCTGCTGTTTGTGTTTCATGTGGGTGCCTAGACTGTGCTTCCCTTGCTCCATGCTTTGGTGAGACGATATGTGCTTTCAGTGGGTAAGTGGGAGGCTTGCATGTGAGGGGCGTGTGGAGGAGTAGGGGAGTGAGATGAGGATGGGGGAGCATGAGGAAGTGGCGGTTTACGGTGGGAAGGGATGGATTGGAAGCGTGGTTTTAGGTGGTTTGGTGGTTTCTTTCTGTTCATGGTAGGGAGAGGAGAGAATTCCATGAGCTATTCTTTAAATTGGTTTACATAGGAAGAAAAATTAGTAGACAAGTTATATCACTGTGTTACTATGGACATCAGCTCAAACACTATGATCTCTCCTCTTTAAAAGGAAATCGAGTTTTGGATTATGATAGTGGCAATATTGTGGAGATATGTGTAATTTTGTATACTTAAATTTTTTGAAAGAAAAAAAAAAAAAAAAAGGTTATATCACTATGTTGCTCATGGTCTGTTTATAAAAAAAATACTAGCTCAAAATACTTTTAAATAAGATGAGTAAGGCTAGTACTAGAATTTATTTACTATTATGTGGAGGCAATTTTTGAAATTTGTAAGAAATCAAATAAATCTCTTGCTTCAATGGTCAAGAAGGGCTCATATATAACTCCTATCTTAACTACAACTTTTTATAGCTTAGCTTACATAAAAATTATATGAACTGGAATTGTTCTGTCAAATTAAATGAAGAAAAAGATAATGTAAAAAGTTTGATTCATTTTTGTGATATTGTGAACGAATTTTGATGACTGTATAAGTTTTATAATTAGACCCGCTTCTCAATTTTGTACATAATTTTAAAAATAAAATAAAATAAAAAGTTAAATTTGAAGTGTACCTTCTTGGTAAAGAAAGTAGATGAAATACAATCTTTAACCCAAGAGATGAATCTAGTAGGAAACCGAAGCCAATAAGAGAGTCTAATGGGAAAGATCAAGACACAGAGTCAAAAGCTTTTCTCAAATCTATTATCATTTAACATCTAAGTGAGAAGTTCAATTTTATACATTGTTGAAAATGATTCGAACATTGAAAATTAAACGAAACTATTCGTGTTGGTTGTTCATACAAGGCACGTATTCCTTCGATATCATGAGCAGTGAGATCCGTCTTGATAGTTCCAGAAGAAACCGATGGGAGCATAATGGCATTTCTATCGATCAGTACTGTGGCCAAGAACATGCCCTTTCTTATGCAATTGATTCCCTAACCCAAGACAATATGATCTCTCCTCTTCAAAAGAAAATCTGAGTGATTGATTCTAATAGAGGCAATATTGTGACAGTTTGTGTATGCTTAAATTTTTGAAGGGATAAAAAAAAAAAGTTTGCATCACTATGTTTTTGAAAGGATAAAAAAAAGGGAAAATTACATATAAATGGAGTCAAAGTTTCATATTTACTTAGAGGCTGAGTCAAAGTTTCATATTTCTCTAAAATGGATTGCTGAGGTGGCACATGGTTTTTTACTGTTTAGAAATTGTGGTGCCTAAAATACCCTTCCGTGAAGGTACTACTTTTTCTTCAAAGGTACCACTTTTTTGAACGGAAGGTACTACTTTTTGGTGTCCAGGTACCATGTTTTTTAAACACCCGCGAAGGTACTACTTTTTCTCTAGAGGTACTACTTTTTTGAACTGAAGGTACTACTTTTTTGTTAGAGAAGGGCATTTTAGGCACCACAATTTTTTAAACAGTAAAAAATCATGTGCCACCTCAGCAATCCATTTTAGAGAAATATGGAACTTTGACTCAGTCTCTAAGTAAATATGAAACTTTAACTCCATTTATATGTAATTTTCCCTAAAAAAAACAAAAAAGAAGTTTACGTCACTATGTTGTTCATGGTCTGTTTGTTAAAAACTAGTTTAAAATATTTCTAAATAAAGTAAGTCTAGTACTAGAATTAATTAATTATTATATGGAGGCAATTTTCGACATTTGTAAGTAATCAAATAAATATCTCGATTCAATGGTCAAGAAAGGGTCATAGCCCTTAATATATATATTAAGTACTTCTCTTTATATCTTCGTTCACATAAAAATATATGAACTAGAATTGTTTTGTCAAATTAAATGGAGAAAAAGAGAACGAAAAAGTTTGATTCATTTGTGTGATACTATAATTATAAAAGTAAAAAATAAAAAATTCAACTTCAATAACGTTTATCTCCTGATGAAATACATTAATTCCCTGACTCAAGAGATGAATCTACTGGTTGAAAACCCAAGCAAATAAAGAGAGTCCAATAGAAAGGCTGGATACAGAGTCGAGCCCATTTTTGTTGAACATGTAAGAGAGAGAGTCAATTTTATACTCTTAGGAAAATGATTCGAAAATTTAGGCTGAACATTGAAAATAATAGGAAATTTTTCGGGTTGATCCAGAATACAAGGCACGTATTCCTTGTATATCATCAGTACTCAGATTCCTCTTGATAGTTCCAGTAGGAAGCGATGCGTACATAATGGCATTCCGATCTCTACTGTGGCCAAGCCCAAGAACATGCCCTATCTCATGAACTGCAACTGATTCCAAGTCTATTTGGCTCATGTTTGGATTACTACTCCAATCCTCATCAGCATCATAGTGGAACCATCCTTTTGTTGGTGCAAAAGAATGAGCAAATACACCCCCAGGACCATCAAATGGAGCCCCGTCGTTATGATTGCCACGATGGAAACCAATAACAATGTCTCCGACTGCACCCTGAGGAGCTTCCACAAATGTGAATGGGCTCACATTTTGCCATTTTCGAAAAGCTCGCGAGCACACCAACCTCAGTTCTTGCAATCCCACAACTTGGGCACTGGATTGGAAGCTATAAGTGAGGTAGGTTTTCGATAGAGGCCACCGTGGCCTTCCTGGGAAGAATGAGTACATTGCGACCATGTTGAAAAGTTTTGTCTGTTTTATTTGCGTGCTTGACAATGAGTTTGTGACATTGACAACATCAGGCACGCCACATCTTGGGAGCATCATATGTTGAATGGTTTCAGAGTCTAAGATTCCGGTTATATTCAAGTGATAATTTGATTGGTATGCCCCGACCGCAGACTCTAAAAGTTCATCAAACTCTTCATCATTTACATGGATGTGATTGCTAAATTTAGTCTTTGAATCATGCTGAGCACCATAATTCAAGTACCCAAACTTCTCGAGATAGCGTTTGAGCTCACCAAGGCCTTCCACTGTCTTGCCCTTGTGGCTTCCCTCCAAGTGCTGGAGGAACTTGAAGGCCTTTCCGGGAGGAATTGTCACAAGGAGGAGGAAAGCTCCTAAAAGAAGAAAGAGATTAGGGGGCATTGTAAAGGGTTTGTTGTAGGAGCCTTGTGTTGGTGTTTGGGTGTGTGTTGGACTCCCCCAAGACTACTAATTTATTGAGAGACGTTAAAGTTCATGTCCTAATTTTGAATTAATTGGGTCTCACAACGTGGAATTACTCCTTAAAGACCGTCGACATTGGCGGGCGGTGCAGACTTTGGTGTCAATGTAAACAAATTGAAATGGACTTAGAGTTCACATTCACTCAAATCTGGCTGGCATTGCCTTGAAAGTTTCTTATTCTATCCAAAGGAAGACCATATTAGTGTTACATACCAGACCAAACAAGCTAGGGTCATTGGCTAGCATTGCCTTGAAGATCTTTTTTCAGTTAAAGGAAGACCATATATTAGACCTAATCAAATAGGCTAAGTGTAACGGGTGGACGTTTATCCATTTATACTCTTTTTAATTTTCATCCGAATTTGATATGAGACAAATACCTCTTGTAACATTCTCTCCCACCCGAATTTTATATATTTGAAATTGAAAGGAAGATGCTAAGATCAGCTTTATGTCCCATGTGGTTTCATATTTTGTTGAATGGAATGCCGTGCCATAGAAGGCGAGGTCATTGGCGTGTTTTGTGGGGGAGAGAACATTCAGATGTGTACAATTTGAATTAGTGTAATTTCTATTGCCTTGGAAATTTCTTGTTCTGTTGAGAGGAATACCACCATATCAGTATTAGTATTATTACATAGCTAACCAAACACGCCGGAGTCATTGCCGTGTCCAGACGGAGGGATAACATACCCCCAAAGTCCATCTCTAACAAGAAAAAGAGGTACAGTTCATTGAAATTGAAGATCACCCTGTCTCAGTCCATTTTCAGTGTTAATTCTATTATTTTGTAATAGTAACAAGAATCACATTAATCGGGTGAGTTCGATAGCACGCTGGTAGTCTGTAGGTGCATTTCCCTCAAGGAGTTCAAATTCGACTCATCTCATCTTTTTCCATTTACATCAAATATCGGGGTCCCACAAAAAATTTGATTGATTGCATATACTAATTGAATTATTGGTCCTCTGGCCACAAAATCAAAACCGGTGAATTTTTCTCACACACACACATATATTGTAGAGTAAAGCTACCATAAGGTTGATCATACACTAACTTTTGTGAGCTATTTTTTAAGTCGGTATACATAGGAAGAAAAATTAGTACACAAGTTATATCAGTGTGTTACTATGGACATCAGCTCAAACACTATGATCTCTTCTCTTTGAAAGGGGATCGATTATGATTGTGGCAATACTGTGGAGATATGTGTAATTGTGTTAAATTTTTTGAAAGCCAAAAAAAAAAAAAAAAAAAAAACCATAAAAAGGGTATTGTTACTTATCCTCTTTATGCGATAGGGCCAAAGATTAGCTGTAGCAATTGAAAATCGCACTGTGCGGTGATGCTTCTGATGGGTGACGAGATGGTCGTTGACTAAACCAGCAACTTGGATGAAAGATTGAACATGGGTCTTCCAACTCTTGAAACATCTTCTCACCAAAATTTTTATTTGTAATTCCTTCACTGGGATTAGTTGCTTTGAATTAATGGACTCAGGATTTACAAATTCGCATGCAAAATTTTCTAAAGTCAACCCACTCACACCATCGCTTCTAGGATCAATTTTTGACATTTGTAAGAAATCAAATAAATCTCTTGATTCAATGGTCAAGAAGGGCTCATTAATTTTAAGTACTTCTCTTTGTATCTTGGCTTATATAAAAATAATATGAACTGGAATTGTTTTGTCAAATTAAATGAAGAAAAAGGGAATGTAAAAAGTTTGATTCATTTTTGTGTACTGTGAACTATTTTTTTTTTTTTTTTTTTGATGACTGAATAAGTTTTATAATTAGACGTGCTTCTCAATTTTGTACATAATTTTCAAAATAAAATAAAAAGTTAAATTTGAAGTGTACCTCTTCTTTTTCTTTTTATAGATAAAGAGTAAGCTATATTAGATGAAAGAAGAATGTATAGAGAGCCCCAAAGTATAGGGGAACAAATTGAACCAAAACAATACATCAACAGCACTGTGAGTAACCCAAGAAGCCCTAAACGAGGTCTTTCCACCAAAGGACACCAATGACAATGCTCATAAATACAAAATGAAGTAAAATAGATGTGACATAATCCCACCCTTGGAGATGTTGGGATTTATATGCCCTGACATAATAAATTTCTATTTGGAATTAAGAAACATATGTTCCTGACAATCTGAAATATTTATGATTTATATAATTGGTGAATTCAATGTATTATGTTTCGATTCATTATGTAATTGATAGTGTCCACTTGATTACAAGAGAGATTTATATATGTATGTGATGGCAATCAATACATGAATATAAATAGTAATCATAAATTGTTCATAGTCGGTAATTATGGATGAGCTCATAATTAATTAAGACTTGAACTGGATTCGGGTTAGGTTGAGATATATTGCGAGAGTCGTCGTATGCAATTGCTCCCTATCACTGTCATGGTTTTTGACTCTTAGGCATGAGAGAAGTATAGACTCTTTTATTAATTAATAATTACTTTGATTTGTTTGGCGGATACTTTGGAATCCTTAGACCAACACTTTGGGTAGTTATATAATTAATAGTTAGAGAGTTATATTCTCAATAATTGCATCAATGCTACTCGTATTTATTTTATATTGATTATGATTGATCACAAATTAAATTCGAAGGTCTTCGTGTGTTTTTAGACAAAATGATTTATTATATATTTATTTATTTAAATTATTATTTTTGTCAAACAAATGTTTTTATTGCGATCGAGTCAGAAATAATCAAAGGTATCAAAATAAATATATTAATTAAATAGTCGGATTGATAACTTTATTTATCCGATAACTTATTATGCATAGAGGGGTCAAAGTGCAACATTGACTTAGAGGTTATTTATTATTTAATTGGAGTTCAATTAATTTCTTTTAGTGGAGTAGAAATTAATTAATTAATTAATTTAATTGGGTCCATAGACCGGGCCGATTATTAATTCATTGTAGCCAATAAAATAATAAGCTCAATAGGATTCTCACTCATAGCCCAACTTGATATTGGAATCCTATTAGATTTGAGATATGTGAACTAGAGATTGAAAATGATTTAGTATTTCCTTTTCTTATTTTTTTGTTGCCTATATATACATGGGTTCATGTATATTTTAGAGGAGACTTTTGGAAGAAAAAAAAAAGGAATATATTTTTTTTCTCTCTAGATTTTAGGGTTTGTTTTCTCATCTAATGGAGGTTTCCACAAGCCTAGTTTTTCAAGGTCATTCATGGTGGCTTATTGGTAATTCCTAAAAGCAAGATCATTACCAATGAGTTGGAGATCCAAGGAGAAAACATCTAGTAAAGGGATCTACAATAAGTGAGAACATTCACTTTAGAGGAGAGATCTAAGGTTTACTCAAACCTTTGATGTAAGTATTCAATCTATTAATTGAATGATACATCATATTTTATTTTTGCATAAAACTTGTTTCTATGTGATGAATCAAGATCTGTGAATGAAAATTCCTCGAAAAGTTTTTAAAACTAGCACGTTTCCCAATAGGAGATTCCTCAAACAACATCAAATGTGTCAAATTAATCTAGGAGGATCCAAGTGTGACACCCAGTAAAAGCGCAGCCATCCAAGAACATCTTCTGTAGATCCTCAATTGTTCCTTCTTGCTTTTGCTCAACTCCACTCTTCAGAGCCAGTGATGCAATCCTTTATCTGATGCAGCTCTTGATGAGATTAATGATGTGAAGAGCATTAGATGCTTTGTTCCTGACGGCTCTAGCATTCCTTTTAAGCCAAATGCAATAAACAGCAGCAGATAGCAGAAGTTTGTGAATTATGTAACCTTCCTTGCTCCAATGAGATGAACACCAAAGAATTAGTTCCTTCCAACAATCAGGCCAAATGTTGAATCCAGCAACATTTTGAATGAAATCCCATATTGCTTGACTGAACTTACACTTGAAGAATAGGATAATCAATTGATTCCCAATCAGAAAGGCAAAGATAACATGCATTAGTGTAATGCTTGTGAAGCATTGGCTTTGTATCAAGAGTGTAAAATCTTTCTCTGACTGCTAACCAAAAAATGTGACTGTGTTTAGGGATGTAATGCTTGAACCAGACTAACTTGTGCCAAGTAAAAGACAGTGAGGGTGGACAGAAGTATTCCATAGTGAGTTTCTGAGAAAATCCCAAAGGTAAGCTTGGAAGCCATTCAGTTGAATCATGTGCCAGAGATGGTAGGGGGAGGCGTTGGAGCTGTGTAGTTAAAGATTCAGAGAGGAAAAAAGGAAAAAACTGTAGGGAAATTGGAATTGTCCATTATGAGTTGGATATAAAACTATCAACTTTGACACTTATGTCAAGTTGAAGAATATCCATCTCTGATAGGCCCAGCGGATCACAAATTGGACCATTTGGCAACCAATAGTCAATCCACATCATAGTGTCAGTGCCAGCTCCAATTCTGTGTCTGATAACCCCCCTAACCATATCCCTTTGCTTCAGTAATTTTCTCCAAAACCCAGAACTGAGAGATGATGGTTTAAGAGTCCAAAAACTTTTATTTTTGATGAGGTATCTATAGGTCCAGTCAACCCAAAGGCTGCTCTTCCTAGAGTATAACTTCCAGATGTGTAATACCCCAGTTTTAAAAAGGATAAAATTTAAATTTAAATTTAAATTTCAAATGTATTTTTAATTGGTTATGTGACTATGTGCTTATGTGGCAAATTATTTCTTTGAATAATTATTTATTTGATTTTTGTTATTTAATTGTGTGTTAATTGCTTGTTAAATTGTGTGGTTTATTTGTAATTAAATTGTTAGGGTTAAATGATATATTGTTTTATGTTTTATTTTCATTTTATTTTAAAAAGGAGTCAATTTTGGATAGTAGTAGTGGACCAGTAAAATGGGTCACATGGACTACTTGGATAGACCTTCATGTGTAAGGTGTAGAACCCATGGGTACTGGAGGTGAT